ACGTCAAGTTTGGTCACAATAGCTTAAGCCAATTTTGATTTACAGGTATTTATGTAAAATTGTACGTAATTACACAAAAGTTAAAATTTAAGAAAAAAATGCTAATAAAGCTAATTTTGGCAATTTGAATTTGAATTTGAATCCCACCAAAGTTTCAGGTCGACCATCTGGGACGAGTTCGCAAAAATATGTTTTGGAGAAAAGAGATAAAAAGTCGTATATTTTGACATTTTTAGAGCAGAAGACCATTGGAGCAGAGATTAAAATGATTACAGAAGTTTGACCAAGTTGATTGTTATAGCGCCACCATGAGGTCTATGAGGGCCATTTCTTTGCCTGAGTAGGGTGGAATTTGCAAACTACGTGCCAATTTTGTTTTCATCCAGCAGTTTTTGCTGCCCAAACACTTTTAGTGGAAAGAAAGAAGAAGAAGAAGAAGAATCAGAACAAAACCAATAGGCTGCTTGGAGCCCTATCCCTAATAAGATCTTAATAATACACATACATAGAGCTGATTTGAGTGATCAACAGGTGCCTGTCTACATGGAGTATTTCTGCACAGTGTCCAGTGGCAAGATCGCTAATGCACATATGAGTAAAAAGTGTATTGCACATTGCCACCACAATTGTTGTTACATACCAGAGAGGTTATCACGCAGAGGATTTGTATTGTCAGTAACTCTGTACCCATCTTGTCTTTCATGTTCTAGTACTGCTAATTGCAGCATCTATTCAGATGAAGCACCGTCCAGCTCTACAGGACATAACAGAGCTTCCAGCGTGGCCCTTCAGCTCCTGCACATTACTGCTTTTTTAGCCTTTTGTTTTAATTATCTGCACAACACCTGAACCCTACTGATTTCAAATTATGACACTGGGTGCTTTTCGACAGTGTCTATCATTATAATTACTGTTACAACACATTTTTCACTTCATTATGTTTTCATGAATGCAAGACATGATTTTAAATTGTTAAACTATTGCTTGTTAAATTATTACTTATGTTTTAGGAACAGTTTTTGTTGTAAAATGGACTAAATATACTTAAAGTGGTCATATTATGCTCATTTTCAGGTTCATCATTTTATTTAGGGGTTGTAGCAGAACAGGTTTACATGGATTTTTTCAAAAGACACCATATTTTTTGTCATACTGCACATTGCCTCAGCACCTCTTTTCCACCTGTGTGTTTTAGCTACAGAATGAGGCGTCTTACTTTCATAAAATCTTTGTTGGGAGTGCACATGCGCAGTCCCTAGTTATACTAGCCAATCAGAAGCACTGTAGGGCAGATCCTGAAAAGCAGGTAAACATGGCTTTGGTTCAGCTCTATATGTTCCCCTTACCAGCTTAGCATCCGCTAGATGGCGCTGTCGCAAAAGACCTACGGTCCTAGAAGTGTGGTCCCAGGACTGCGTGGGGACTGGAGTAAGAGTTTCAGAGTAGTGAGTTATTAATCTGTAACAAAAGTATCTTTCATCCATAAAGTTTTGACTGAGCTCTGTCTCTACATCACAGGAACAACTTTATGTCCACTGACTGCCTGGAGGGTAGCCAGTGTTTGGAAGGGAGAGGGGAGGCGGAAGGCGGACGTCTTGTTACTGTGTGCTGCAGCTCAGAGGGTTTTTTAAGGTGTGTCTGACTAGCTGCTTGGCGAGCATTACGCATTATTTTTTTCTTGTGACGTCACCAGAAAGCGGCAGAAAAGGCTGGACTACAAAGGAGCTTTCAGGCAGTTCAAAGCAGTGTTTTCTGTCTGAGATGGGAACTCCCTTTGGGCTTTTTAGCTTTGCAAATCTATTAACATGCACAAAAGTTATATAAGTCAATAAAGTAGTGGGGAAAAGCCAAAAAGAATAAAATGACCTCTTTAAAAAAATCACATTCTTCATTCATCAGTTTCCTATGTTAATTGGAAATAGCCTGATCTAAACTTAAAAATATATATGATTGTTAACATTTGTAAATGAAAATATTAAGATGGTGTTTATAGGTCAACATTTTGCAGATATGTAAGTAGAAAGAAAACAATCAAAAGATGATATTATATACTGGTTTTATTTGGACATATTTTAGACATTATTTATTTATCCTAAAGTATAATCTAGAGAGTGAAAATACTCCAGCACACACAGAAATACACTGCATAATTACTTTTCAACATTTCATGTGAAACATGAAATATGTTTGGGAGCATTTTCACTTTTCAACTTATACCAAACTTCTCATTTAGCAAAAGCTCGGTTTTAATATTTGAAGTTTTATCTGTGTTGTATGAATAGCTTGTCCTTTGAATTGACAGACAGAATGTCAGTAGTAAAGACAAAGGAGTTAAAATTGACACATATGGACAATATTTAAAAATAAAAGTAACGACGTCAGTCGACACCATCAGATACAGACGTCCAGCATACTGATGATGCTTCACAGGCCTCTGCAGCTCTCTGGGAACCAGGTCTCACGTTATCCACACTGTGACTATGGGAGACAAATAAATGGGTAATAATTAATAAATTTATTAAATGAAACTATCATATATTATAGATTCATTACACAAAGTTAAATATTTCCAGTCCTTTATTTGTTTCAGTGTTTCCCATATATTGATTTATTTGTGGTGGCCCGTCACACTATCAACACGGACAGCCACTTATTGATTTTAAATTTTTTTACTATTTAAAATGGTAAAAATATCTGGTGAAAATCGTATTTCACTGCAGAGCTGCGTGCAGTGCTCAGCCCCTGCCCTCGCTCCTTCCCTCTATCTTTTTCTATGCAGCTGGTTCCAGAAAGGAGTGTCGCTATATGAAAGCACACATGGTTGCAGTGTACTGGCAGCTATTCTTTCCGCGTTTATTGTGGGATCTTTGAAAGCAGCTGACAACAGACCCGTTTTTTTAAATGCATCTCTAAAACATGGCTCATTATATGTTGATAGTAGGCTATTATTATGTCAGATGTGGGAGAAATGGAACATGTGTGCAACACCTCAAAATGACAGTAGATAACAATAGTCAATAGTACAATAGTCTACAGTATTTGTTGTGTTGTCCTTTGCAGACAGACAAGGTAATATCAGTAATATTAGCTGTCAAATGTCAAGTAGCCACGACTAGTAACTTTACTTACATTTTAAGCTGTGTGTAGCAAACGTGGAGGCATCAGAACCTCAACAAGAACCGATCCCTGAAAGAAAAAAACATCTTGTAACAAAAAAGAAAGCGCCTTTTTCTCTCAACAGTCATATTCAAGACAATAATCTGACACAGCGCTGTGGACAGCAGTAACATTACTCAAATAAAAAATCAAGCGGTGTGGAGAACAGCAGCAACAACAATAAATGTTACGGCTAACTTTTGTAATTTTAATAGCTAACATTACCATTATCTGTGACTTAAACTAATAGGAATATAAAACTAGCTTTTTAACTTTGACAAGTATCATATGATCAAGTGGCATCCAAGTAAACGACTTGCAAAAAGGTTATGTATATTTGAGAATGCTGATTCATAGTTACTGTCAATCCCAAATTTCTGCAAATCTTTACAAATTCTGGAGTTGCAAATTATCACATTTATATACTAAAAAGCATTAAAGCATTTTAAACCTTGTGTTATAACCTCAATAATAGATAAATAGTTATTTAAAGTTAACAAGTTATTGTGTAGTTTCAAGTTAACTTACCTTGAGTGTAAGCTAACAGCGATATAGCCACAAGCCACCATCCAAACATACAGCCCCAGAGGTTTAGCCGACAAAGCTACAGCAGAGTAGCAAATAGCATGAGCTAACTTGATCACGTCGTGCTTGGTCGGCATGATTTCAGCAACTCGTCACCTCAGCTCCACCCATGGGAGTGACATGCGGTGACGCGCTGCCAATGCACCATCCAGCTCCACCAACTTTGAGCTTCAAAATGGCTCTTCAGAACTCTTTGGGTGACGTCACGGACACTAAATCCATTATTTACACACGTCTATGCTCCTGAACCCTCCCTCAGTTAGCCTGCCGTGGGACTTCCCATCATTCACTGAGCTCCTCTCTCTCATCCCATTAATGCATGTTACTAACTCGACTTCTTCCCTTTCTAATAATCTTGTGCTTTCTCATCCACCTCCTCTCTCCTCCTATCACTTTCTGCAGGCTCTGGAGCTGTGGAGTCTGGATCTGTGGTTGCGGGTCACCTGCTGCCCCCGTGTTCCTGCTCCAATCCCTCGGCTACAATTATTATTACTATTCCTATTGTTATTATTATTTTTATTATTATCGTTAACATTACTATTATCATTAACATTACTATAAATATCTATACCATTATTAATTTTCTGTACCACTATTACCTTTACTGTCTGTACTTTACTTAAACATTGAATTTCCCCCTGCGGGATTAATAAAATATATCTTCTTCGTCTTCTGTGTGGATATTGTGTTGGCTGCTCTCCCCTACCCCCCAGCCCTCTCTCCCACTTTCTTAGTATCTCTCTCTTTCACCCCCAACCGGTGGAGACACCCTGAGCCATGGTTCTGCTCGAGGTTTCTGCCTCTTAAAAGGAAGTTTTTCCTTGCCTCTGTCTCCTAGTGCTGCTCTTGGTGGGAACTGTTGGGCTTCTGTAAATAACATCACAGAGTACGGTCTAGACCTGCTCTTTTATGAAAAGTGCTGTGAGATAACTGTTGTTGTGAATTGGCACTATTTAAATAAAATTTAATAAAATTGAATTGAATTAATAAAGCTAAACATATTAGCTCTAATTGGGCAGAAGACCTGGGAGATAAAAAACATTAATTTAGAATGAATTCAACTGTGATTTATTGAGTTTTAAATAAAAGAAAACCAACTTGTCAGATCCAAAGGATTTGTAAAACACATTATACAGGGTTTTTTTTTCTGGTTATTTAAAAACGATACACATTGATTGCTCTTTTCATGTATTAAAACATGTTGGATTTCAAATTATTTGAAATGCCAGAATGCTGTGGTTCAATTCAAAGTTACTCACTGTTGGGGGTCAGGAAGCTAAAGCAGTTTCTGCGATTTCCAGGTTTCACATCATCTCTCTCTGCAAAAACAATTAAACAGTTACAGAAAATAAAAACACCTTTAATATGTCATCAAGGTATACAACAAATATAATGTGCAGGGTTCTACACCACCTCAAATTATAGCTGAAAGCACTTTACGGTAAAACTTAAAATGTTGTCTTATTCTTTGATTTACTCACCAGACTCACCAGATGTTGCAGTTGTAAATAGGAATTATGGACAATACAATTTGTTGTTTTTATTAGACTAACAGTTGTGTTCCTCCTTTTAACTTTAAACAAGACAAAAGAAAAATGCCCCTCAATGCTTCAGTGATTAGAGAAAAGTAAAATCAAGCATTGAAGAAATTACTGAAAAGAATTAAATAAATAAAAAACGCTTATCCTTCAGTGTCGCGGGGACTGAGGCTTTGTTATGTATCTTATTGTATTGTAACGATATTTACAGCTGTATCCTCTGACCTGTGATGTGCTACTGACTAGTGTTTACTGTAGGTCAGTTTTCTTGGGGTTGCTACAGGGGAACTTGTGGATGTTATTAATCTTCATTAATATAAGGGAAACACAAAATCCAGGTGGCAGGTGACGATTCAAAGTATGATAGAATATAATGCAGTAAAATTCTCAGGCAGTCTGTGTTGCTTTAAGATACTGCACATATTTTCTCCTGTAGATCAACTTTTACAAGGTTACGAGGTAGTTTATTTGTCAACACAAGGTACACATTAAATGCGTATTAACATATTTTCTCATGTAATATCATCCCTGCTGAATCAACACACGTTTGATTTAGTCTTCCCTCCACTTTTGTCTTTGTCTTTGGGGAAGTAACCTCTTGTGGCACCTTTTCACCTTAATGAGAAATGAATTCATTTTAATTCAGTGATAAACACATGGACTTTATTAGCTCCTGTGTTTCAGAAGCTTTTCTGCCCATGTTCAAAACTTTCTGCACATTCAGAATCTCTCCATAGACTAGGCTATCTGTCTTCTCTGACATGTCGAGGAAAAAAGTCATAATATTACGAGAATAACGTCGTCATTAATGAGAATTCATAATACTTTTAAAACAGTCTACTTGCCCTATACTCTGCTGTGCATAAGCCTGCGAGGTTGCTCTGCTGATTTGGCCCCTTCAGACCGTCTGCAGCTACAGAACCGTTTAGGACTGGATGAGAGGAGGAGGTGGATAAACGATACTTAGGGTACTGAAAACACCTTTGATCAGGCAGAAATATCACCACAAATCCACACAAATGTTAACTTCAGCACCTCAGATAAAGTGCAGGTCACAGTCCCAAACGAAGGAAGTTTGCCCCTCAGATTTTAGGTTTTTACTTAACACTCTTTCAGTTTCTTACTGCAACTCACAGCGCAAGATGTCGCAACAGCTGGGTGGAGTACACTTGCCCTGACTCGTTTCTATCAGTTATACATTTGTTTTTCACTGTGAGAGAAAAATGATGAGTAGCGTGAGAGCGTGTGTGAACATTGTCAATGGCTTGAGTCTCACGCTCAACGTCTGAAAGTTGACAGCTCTGGTGTTTCAAGGTTAAGCAAGCTTAAGCTTCTGCTGCTGTGTTAGCTCCTCACCTTCACCTATCATACATAGGCTACATAGCGCTTCATAACTTTTTTTGGCCAGAAAATTGGCCACAGCCTTCCTATGATTTTTATTTTTCTCTGTGTGTTTTTGTTTCTTTACCTTAAAAACATAAGCTTTTTTCACGCAAAACATATGAAGAGTTTAAAAAATAGGATGTTTTGAAATAATTTCAAATATTTAATAGTTTATAGAAGTCCAGATAGCAGAACTACATCACTTAGGCTAACTGACAGAAATGTAATAGCCAACAGTTTTGTTATTAGTCATTGTGAATGTAAAAACCTTTCCAGCTTCACAAAGGTAAAGATTTGCAGCTTTTACTTTTGATTATTTTAATGTAGGCCTATTTTTAATCATTATCAGGTTTGGAGTGACAGTAGTCCAAGTAGGTGAAGGTGACAACATTTCTCACTATTTTCAGAATTTATTACAATCGATTAATGGAGAAAATAATCCATAATAAAAATAATCATTAATTGCAGTCTGATACAAAATAGTTCAACCTCAACCAACTACATTAATGCATGAGGAATAATAATCTAATAATCTAATATATAATAGTACTGTCATATGGGACATTATTCTTTCTGCTTTGAGTAAGCCCCTTTTATTTTTAATAGGCTGTTTCTACACAGGGAGTGGTAACGACGTGCTTCCTGCGGGATCACAGAATTTACCTCTTAATTTCTCAGCGTGAGAAATACAAGGTGTGCCGTGTGAGCGCGTGAACTGGCTGAAATGCGTGTGTCTCACGGTGAATGCGTGAGACTTGAGAGCCTTGAATAATATATAGCCTATTCCTATATATAAATGCACATACAAATTATTTCAGTGTAGGCCTATAATAAATGCATTAGCTCACTAATCGTGCACCTGTCACGTCCCTGCTGCTGCGTCCTGCGTCTTTTTTTCTTCTTAATTCTTCTTTTTCCGGCACCACCCAGTTCTTCTTCATCTTAATTTGTTTTTGCCATATTTACCGCCTCTGTTACACTTGTAGTAGCCTAAAGTAGTTTAAAGTAAACTCTTTGGAGCGGCACCGTTGAGCCAATCATTGGACTGCAGAAACAAAACGACCATCCGTCCAAGTTGGGATGGCCCGCTCGCATCCCCCATCACTTTTAAAGTAGACTTATTAGTTTGGCCCAGTCCGACAGACACACAAACAGCGTCCCGCGGCCCGGTCCCGGATCATAAAGTAGCAGAAGACATTAGTCAATAAAAAAATAAAATGACCACCAGTCGGTTATAAATAGGCGCTAAATATGTAAAGTTAGTTGAGTTCACTCACCTGCTGAAAGCCTTGCTGTTTTCACACCAAGAGGATTAAAGTGAAAGGAAAGAAGGTTCAACAAAAAACCCAGACGTCAGAACAAGATCACATGATCAGACGTTTCAGAATATTTCATACCGAAGCAATTTGTTTTATGTGAATGACTCTCAATGGGTTCTCAACTCATCTCTAAACAAAGAGTTCAACTCTTATTCACACAGTATGTTTTCTATATTTAATCCTGAAGTAGCCTATCTGAATTGGGTGAAGCCTGTAAAACAACATGGCAGGTACCAACATGTTCTCCCTCTTATGGAACTGTGACTGTCTTTTACCAGAACATCTGAAGAACTTGACAGACTGAGCTGAGAAAGATTCACATCAAAATGTTTTTAAATTAAAGTGAAGGAACAAAGTCTGTGTGCAGGATGACTCTCTTTATTACACAAATACAATTAAAATGTCTCTGTCATTGTGAACACTATACAAATGTTATTTTTCTTTTAACCCCTGTTGCACAAATATACAGCTACAACACAATGTAAAAATTTGTTCTGGAGACAAAAGTTGGTCCAAACATTGAACGAGGCAGGCAGCTAATAAAGTGCAGTGTGTCCATATTTTACATCATTATACAATATTACATTCCTGTCAGTTTCACATAAAATATTTCAAATACAATCATTAACACAACAAACACACAAGAGAGGTGCAGATCATTTTAACCAAATCATTATGAACAAATTAAGTCCTTATGAAGCTCATACTTGAAGGTTTATGCTGTATATTATGTAAAACACAGTCTTCCTCATGAGTTGGTGCCGAATGTGCATTTAGAGTGAAAACAGCTGGATCTCTCTGTTTGTAATCCACATTGTAACATTCCATGCATTAAAAAAACGCTTTTCCACCTTTTTACATTACATAATAATTTGGTTTACCTTGATTGGTGTTTGGAAAGCAGAAGCTGGTCAGAGTGTGTCTGAGAGGGGGCAGTTAGTCTCAGCACCAGCTGCACAAAGGACTCTTCTGGGCTCAGCTTTTGGGTAGAGAGGGCTTGGAATGGAGGGTGTCCAGGAGGCTGGATTTAAGGTAAAAGAGATCTTTCTTAGGAATGTTAATTATCAGAATCTTTCTAATTCTGCTCTACATCCAGCTATAGATGTTTGTGTATGTGTGTGTGTGTGTGTTTGTGTGTGTATAAAATGTATCTGCATAACTCTGCATGTAAAGATTCTTGTTTGTTCCGGATATTTCACTAGATCTGGGTACCATAAGTAGAGTTATAATCCATTTTCTAGACAAGAAAACAATAAAATGGGTTCACGTCATCTTAAATTTGGACATAAACGTTTGTCTCAGTCATCTCAGTAAATCTCCTCAATTCAGAGAGATTTTAGAGAGGAAACTTAGACTGAAAAAAGATCCAAAATGCACATTATCATCCAGGTACAAACAGATCTGCAGTTCTAAAATTTCATATCAGAAAAAAATGATAGAGCTCCACCTGCTGGACAAAACCCTGTCAGTGCACAAGAAGTGCATTGGATCAAAGTGAATCTGAAAAGGTTGTTATTATCAGTCTACATTTACCTTAATTAAGCGTGCAAAGTGAAGATAATGTAAGCAGTATTTAGTAGTTCATGTAAATTGAAACTGGCATCTGTTACTAATAATACTTCTGTACTACTGTTAGCACTGCTACTGTGTAGCAGATATAAATGCATGTTGAAAGAGACTCTGGAATAATTACTTACAAGACCTCTGTGGACTGGGACTCTGGTCAAAGAGAAGAGCACAGAGAGTTAAAAATTATTTGAACAGCATTTGAACATGGAGAAACAGCCTTAGGTCTGTGTGTGGTTCGCAAAGTAAAGATAATATATCACATTGCTGTATGTACAGTCAACATCTCAACATTTCAATAGGCAGTATATTTACACTGTGTGTTAAGTAACAACAGTACTGTGGTCTGTGGTCAAACATGCCCTAATTCTAACACCAAAAAGGTAGTTTGCTTGTTTAACAAGATTATACACATTAACTGTAACTATGAATATATATGTATATGTGTATAAAAGCACATTTTAAAGATACATTATGTAGCAGCCAGTAACAAGAACTGCCCCTCCTTTATTAGCCTTAATTTCCATCAACTACTGACAACTGTACAACAAAGCATCCAAACCAACAATTCTCTGCAGGACAAAAATCTACAAATATTCAGATTCTGTTCCAGTTATAGGAGAACACATTTTTACTCACTTTAGTCAATAAAAATAATGAAAAACTACTGGTGCTACTAATCAAACAAGTACATTTACTCTAGGACTGTACTTCAGTGTAATTTTGAGCTACTTTCACTTAACCTGGCCCAGGTTGTGCAACTTTCTTCTTCAACACCACTTTGCAGATGGAAAAGTACTTTTTACTCCATTACAGCGTCAGTTAATTTAAGATAAACAATTTAATAAGAAGACGTTATCAATGAATAACATATGAGTAAGATATGATATTCTGTTCTTCCTGAGCATTAGTGTTTAGTTTGGCAGAAACATCTCTCCAAATGAGAAACAAAAGCTTTTTGTTTCAGGCTGATTATTTCAGGACTGTAAACTCATCAGGGGTGAAAAGAAAAAAAATGTCACTATCTCACTTTAAATCTGTTCTCCCCTCTGCTAACGTTTGTTATAGATTAGAACAGAATTAGAATATGCTGTTTCAGCCATTAGACAAAGTGTCTCTTAGTCTGTTAATCGAATTGTCAGCTATTCCTGATGATGGGACATGGGAACATGGGATTTGGGATCAGGCTAAAACTATATCAATTTACACCCTCATGTAGGCAATACAGTTTAAAATTATTCGTAAAATACATATATCTTCTCATCACAGACATTTCTTTTACCCTTCCCTTTCACCGATGTGTCTCAAATGTAAAGTGAAGGTTGGAACATTGACCCATTGCTTATGGTCATGTGTCAAACTGCAGAGATACCGGTCGGAGATGCTGAGGGAAATTGGGAGGATTCTGGGTACCCAATTGGAAATGGACCCAGTGTCTTCCAAACAGGAATATAACTACGGCAACTAACAAGAGACTGTTTAAAATGTTGACATGTGCTGCCAGAAAAAATATATTATTGCAGTGGATCTCAGAGGCCAGCCCTTCTATTCAGGGCTGGCATAGAGTTATATTTCAATTGATTCCATTGGAGTATCTCACGGGTATCCTCCACTCCAGGTTGGATCAGTTTCTTGCAGTTTGGGTCATCTACCATAGGTCTCTGGAGGCTGGCCTGTCAAATGCTGTGTTGAGGGGAGTCTGAGTGGGTGTGTTTTTTGGTGAACTTGAGGTATTTGCCTAGGTTGTTGCTTTAGCTATTGTTGATTGTTTTTTTGTTTTTTTTGCTTGTTTCTTTTTTCAGTTGTTTTGTTGTTCTTTTTTCTCTTCTTCTTTTTGAATTGTCTTGGAGTTGTGTTTTTGCTTAAGTTAATGTTTGTGTGATTGTCTTTGTGAAAGATGGTGGACACAGCATGGCCAAAACATGTTTGTTTTTTTTACTTCATTTACAGTTCATTGTTATAAAATCTAATCAGTTCAGGGAAATGGTGAAACTATAATTAAAAATACCTTTTTTTTGTGATCGCTTAGGCACAATTTTTTGAAACTATCAGCTATTTTTGCAAAATTCTACACATGATCACAAAACCTTATACATCTCATGTAAAGCTTACAATTCTTGCATAACTCTTTAAACTCATTTAAAAATTGAGTTACAGTACATACAAAGGTCTTTGAATAAGCACACAAAGCAAACTATAACTGATAGTAAAAATGAAAAATACTTGTGGCTTTTGCGTTTTCTGTGTGTAGGGCAGACCAGTTTGCAATAAAGGTTTGTCATGCATGTAGTACAGTAAAACTCACATACACACAGCTGCCCAAATGTAAAGTATAGATGTGTGTTCCTCACCTGTTTTACATGAATTGAGCTTATTTTGAAAGAGACTCTGTACAGCAGCTTCATCCAATGCAGAGAGACTCACTCTGTTGATCTTTTGGAACATTGTGTTATGTGCAAGTATGGTCTCTGAGTGTGATGCAGGTATACCCATGTTTACAATATGGGCCTCCTACTCTGGGTAAGTAAAGCTGTTCCACCAGATACTGGTTTTCTTGCAATTCTGGGAAAAACATTTGTCTGGGCTTATATAACTAGAAAATAACAGGATGATACCTGTGAGAGTACAGTGGCTGAGATTTGGTTGAGCCCGTTGCCAAGCCTCCTTCAAGCTCTTCCCAGTCGAGTTCTCATTTCTCTAAAGCCTCCATTGCTAACCAAACCAAATGTTAACCTGTGGCCTATTTACGAATAGTGCTAAAGCTCTGATAGGTATGTGAACTAAAAATCAAAAAGTGTTTTCATATGTGTCAACGTGGAATGCCAACTGGCAAAATGGTGTAGCAAAAAATAGTAATTGTGTGTTATTAAATTGCAACCAGTGCAAAGCAGTGGGTTGTGTTTAAAGTTTTACAAAAGCGTACAGCAGAAAGTGTTCATTCAAAACTGAGAAATGACTAAATGATTAGTGTCAATGGTTTGAGAAATAATGCCTCAAGAATGACTTTGAAGCATTCAGAAAAAACTGTAAGGTATCTGATGTAACTCAGCAGATCTAACTCCTCCTCCCTGTTCTCTTTACTCAGCCTACTTGCTTTCTAAAAGAATAGCTTTGATCCAAAGGCTTGATTCTCATAAATTGAACAGTTACAGTGTTTTTTCTGAAAGCTTAGACACACTTAACAGTCATTCTTGAAGCACTATTTTTGAAACCATTAACACTTCTAGACAAATCATTTACCAAGTCTCTTCTCTGCTTTACACTCAGTTCCTCATTCCTCAACAGACTTCTATCAAAACTTTTATCATTACTATTTTTGCTACACTATTTTGCCAATTGACATTCCACATTGACACATGTGAAAACCACACTTTTAGATTTTTTGTTCACATAACAATTATAGCTTGAGCACTAAATTGACCCAGGTAAACATTTGGTTTGGCTTGGTGGCTTTAGACAGGTGAGAATTAGAGGAGGAAGAGGAGGACATGGACAAGGAGGTAGATGAAAGAAGACGAGGATGGGGAGGTGAAGAAGCAAGAGGAGGAGAGGGCAGGATCAATAAGAACTAGGGAGAAGGAGAGGACCAGGAAGAAGAGGGAGGCCATGGGATGAGCATGAGGGAGGCTCCACGAAATCTCAGCTGCTGTGCTGTTGCTGGTTATTTTAAAATGAGAAGTGGTAAGTAAATGTAGGTGCTGTATAGCACTGGTACTAGTTCAGTAATGACAAGGATAAGTCACCACTGTAAAACCAATCAAATGTTTTTCACAGAATTGCAAGAAAAGCAGTATCTTGTGGAACAAGTTTACCCCAGAACAGGAGATCCACATTGTATATATGGGTATTTCAAATAACCTCTTGGGTTACGTATGTAACCCTTATTCCACGAGAAGGGGAACGAGACACTGTGTCGGTGACGACTCTATGGGAACGCCTCTAGGTGTGGCAGGGCTGAATTATGAATGAAACTACGCCAATCCTATTGGCGTTGCTCGAACAGTAGCGTGGGACGGTGTAACTGGAGGTGTATAAAGCACGTCGGCACACAGGACAAACCAGCTCTCTGCTGAAGCAAGGCGCTCCAGGCAGGGCGAGGCATGGCGGACCGACGCAGTGTCTCGTTCCCCTTCTCGGGGAACAGGGGTTACATACGTAACCCGAGACGTTCCCCTTCAAGGGAACTCGAACTGCGTCGGTGACGACACTATGGGAACGAGATACCCACTATGCCACGCTGAAAGCCCCCACCTGCCCCAGCGTGCAGTAACCCGTAGCCACGACTAAGAGGAGAGCGTTCAGGTGCCGGGCGCAGATGGAAGGTCCAGACTGTAAAACCGGATGAACGTGTGCAGAGTGGCCCAGCCAGCTGCCTCACACACATCCCGAAGAAAAGCCCCTGAAAGGAGGGCCCTAGAGGCCGCCATGCCTCTAGTAGAGTCGGCCCTCACGGCCATAGGTGAAGCCAAACCGCGCACCTGATAGGCCAGGGAAATAGTCTGAACTATCCAGTTGCTGATAGTGTGTTTAGAAGCGGGGAGCCCAGCCTTGGGGGACCCAAAACACACCAGCAACTGGTCTGCTTTCCTCCACCGGGAGGACCTCAGAGCCTAAGTACTCAATGAGAGTCCTCTCTTCTGATTCTGTCCTCTTCATTTCTTTTCTTTTCATAATTTTCTCTTTCCTGTTCATATTCTTCTTGAAGTTTTCTAAGTCTTGTTTGTTCCTCCTGTCGTCTCTCTTCGTCTTCTTGATAAGGTTTTTTCCACCATTCTCTTTGTGTTTTCTCCCAGTTCTCTCGTTCTTTTCTCATCTCTTCTCTGCTCTCCTTCAGCTTTCTGTCAATGGTTTCCTTTGATTCTGACTCTGATCTTATATTTTGCTCCAAAGCTTCACATTTTCGTTCCCACTTCTGTCGTTGAATTTCTTCCTGTTGTTTTCTCTTCCTGTCTTCTTCTTCTCTCTTTTCCTGTTCTCTCTTTCTCTTCTCACGTTCCTTCTTTATCTTCTCCTCCTTTTCTTCAAGTTGTTTTTCTCTCAGTTTTCTCTCCTTTTCAGTTTCTGCTCTCTGTTCTTCCATTCTTCTTTTCATCTCTTCCATTTCCTCCTCATGTTTTCTTTGAAGTTCCTCCCTCTCTCTCTTCATCTCTTCTTCCTTCTCCTTCAGGATTCTCTCCATTTCTTTCTTTATAGCTGCCTCGGCCTCTTGCAGCATCTCATTGGTGTAGCAGCTGCCTCCATTTTCCTTCAGCATGGTGTCAATCTTGGTTATCAGCTCACTGACTTGGGTGTAGTTTTCTTCATCACAGTTATCAAACACATGGTATCTTCCTCCACAGTCAGAGATCAGATTCTTGAAGGAATCATCACATTTTTTAGCAATATATTCTTCAATGGTCCGCTATTCATGCTTTAATGAATCTCCTCCAGTTAAAAGAATGATGGTGAACTTTTCAGAATTTTTCCCAAAGGCTTCCTTGATGAGTGTTAATGTCTCCTTCTCCTCTTTTGTGAGTCTCCCGATCTGTAACACCAACAGGAAGACATGTGGTCCTGGAGCCAGAAGACTGATGCATTTCACCATCTCCTCATAAACCTCTTCATGGGACAAACTATTGTCAAACAGACCAGGAGTGTCGACCACAACGACCGGACGACCGTCCACTTCACTCTGTGCTTTCTGACAAAGTTTGGTGACTGATGTTTGACTTGACTCCGCCTCAAACTCGTCTCTTCCTAGAATGGTGTTTCCTGAAGAGCTCTTTCCACTTCCAGTCTTCCCTATCAGCACAATCCTGAGACTCTCTGGGCTCTGCTCCTCATCATCACCTGTGAAATAAGAAGACCTGGAGTTACTTTAAATATTCTCAGCATCTACAGTGAAGGTTCAAGACTGTGATGATCAACATGGTTCAGATCACAGAAAAACATTTAAATTCAAAGTACTTACAAGTGATTTTGTTCTTCTTCATCAGCCTCTGAAGTTCATCTTGTTGCCTGTTGATATGTTTCTGTTGTTTTATGAGGTTTTCCATTTGTGCACGTGCAAATGTTACAGCTGTATAGCAGGATGGTTTATTTTCAGATTGTCTCATCTTTTCCACCATGTCCAGCAGCTCTGGGATCTGCTGCTCGTCCTTGATGTTGAGAACATCTCTTCCTCCACAGCTCTGACGGAGCTCCTGGATGTCCTTGTTTTCCTTTAGAAAGTTAACAACAGCTGGAGCTGCAGGATCTGACTCCACAGTGAACAGAATCATGGTGAAGTCATCGACTCGAGAGCTGAATGTGTTCTGGATGGTCTCTAACTCTCTCTTGTCTTCATCAGTGAGGGGACCCACAGGTAGGACCAGGATGAAGACATGGACGCCCTCAGGATCACAGAGGGAGATACACCTGAGTGATTCCTCCATCACTGCCTCCTGAGGTTTTCCATACAAGGCAGGCAGCTCCACCAGGGAAACCCAACGTCCACACACCTCTCCCTGATGTTTAACACACTCTGATGAGACGGAGACTGAATGAAACTCTGTCTGAGCTAAAATGGCCTTGGCTGCTGAAGTCCTTCCTGCTCCTCTCCTCCCACACAGAACCAGGTTTAAAGCTGGTTTGATGTGTTCAGTCTCTTCAGTGAAGGTGAGGTAGGTTCCTCTGTTTTCATGCACAATGTTCTCAATGTTCTCCATTAACAGTGTGCGGTCATTTTCCAACATGTTGTACTGTCTACTTCCACAGTCTTTAAGCAGCTGACTGACAGAGCTACGTGTTACATTCCCCTCATGCGTCGTGATGACCATTGAGTGTTTAAAAGCATCTTGACCAAACAAACTCAGGATGAACTTCAGTTTTTGTCTGTTCTACTCAGTGAAATCAGAAGGCTTCACTAACAGCAGCAGAACATTTGGTCCAGGAGGACAAAGAGTCTCACAGATCTTCACCTCTCTTCTCACTTTCTCCTCAGTCAGACTAAAAATGTTTGAAGATTTCACCACTTTTAGAGGTGTTCCTTTTCAGTCTCCACAGACGACCTCAGATTGCATGTTTTGGTTTATTTGATAAAATTTAAACTTTTTGCTCCTGATGATGAGGTTGCACAATGATCTCTTTTTGTCTTCACTTCCAAACATCACAATCCTCAGTTCAGATGCTATGAAATAACAAAAATAAAAACATTTAGTTTAAGACTCCAATGAGTCTTCTCATTACTCCTCAATTCATCATATTTATTATAATTCATCATTAATTTAACGAAGTGCAGGGTATAAAAGAAATATTGTGAGCCATGTTCAGGGGTTACTAAGTTTCGGAGATTGGTGACTTAACACAGCACGGTTTATTGAGCCCGGCTGATGAGATACAGTGGCAGCATACAACAAGTGAACAAATCTGAAGGAGAACATCTCCGTCTTCCCCTTGGTTACTGTATGTTTTCCTCTTAGGTCATCTTTAGCTGGCCTCAACCTGGAACATCAAATCTATCTGATGTTTAGACTCCAATGCTTTGTTATATTGGAATCTATTACTATGCATGAGTTGGACTTTAATCTGTGGAGCCAGTGAGTTCTTGTAAACATTCTTGTAAGACTCAAACTTGTAATATTCCCTGAGAACACTGATATCAGTTAGCCTGACGCCTGAGCTACTGTCTCTACCTTATCAGTCTAACTGTTGTCTCCCTAACAAGTACAGTGAGTTACAAGTGAGAAATAACTAGAGCTGGAACGTCAGTGAACACTTGTGGGGTCAGCTAATGACTCTAAGCTAGACCTGTCTTACCTTTCCCTCTTACATTAATTAAGCCTCCTAAAGCTGATGATACACGGAGCAACTTTTAGAGCAGCGGTGCTCGGCAATGTTCCCACCAATGGTAATGAGTAAAGATTACTACCGTAATCCCCTTCCCACACCACCGTTCACCCTGCCGCTATCCGTTCAAAACATGGTCGGACTTGCCACCAGCAAGATTGCCCATCAACATTGCCCAAAAAGTTGCCCAATCAGTTCTATATAGGCTGATTTCTCACCCAGGTCTCGCCCAGGTCCTTTGCTAAAACATTTCATAAATAAAGAGGGATTCAGATATAAAGGCTCGTTCACACTACACAACTTGCCATCTGTGACGGGAGTCTTTAAGTCGTTGCGTTCACACTACGTGACTAACTGGTGACAGGGGTCACACACTACACGAGCTGACAGCGACTTTGTGATACGACGCTGGTCTCAATGTGAAACGGGAAATGAGCGATCCTGCGCACGAAACAGCTGTTTTTTGTTATTATAAAGATGGCAATTATAAAGACAAAGACTATGGGTGAAAGAATGGATGAGCACACGCAGATAATAGGGATCGTCTGAGCTACAGAGAGAACTGGAGGTCAGTAAAAAAGTTTTTTGTAGTGAAAAGTAGCTGCCTGCTCTCATTGGCTGGACGTAGATGTCGAGTCGGCCGACTCTTCCAGATATTTGGCATGCTAGATATCTGGTAGATGTCGGCGATGTGTCAGTCGTGTGTCAGGGAGCCGTTTTGATGCTTCCTTTAGTAGTTCACACATAATGACTGCCGACCCCAGATCAACCCCTGATTTACTCCTGATCACATTTGCCGAGCGGCAAATCAGGCTAAAAATCGTGTAGTGTGAACTAATACTACTAAATCCATGTGCCCTCCATAATCAAGTATATGAACCACAATTCTCAACGATACAAATATATACATTAGCATGTCTGTAAGTTTGTGACAGTTTGCTCATTATGGATCCTTTTCAGTCAGCGACATCAGTGATTCACCAAAATTAACATTTGATTTGTATATGTAGAGCAAGATGTGTAGTTTTTTACCAAATCTCTGACTGATAACTAGAGCTTACTAAACCTTGAGGAATGGTAATGACTGGTCCAGATATTAGTCAAACGTTAAGGTTTTACCAGGGAAACTGAGTTATGGTTTGTGAAAAACTTTTTAATTGCAAAACTAATGAAAACATAAATTAATGGTCTTGGGTTTTTTTTGGGGCAAGTGACCAGGGTATAAGCAGGAAACTCCATTCAAGGTGTCTCTAAAATAATTAGGAGTTAATGGACTGTTCTGGCCTCCCAGTCATTCATTAATTCCTGGTAATGGACACCTCATCAGGTACAATCCCTTACATATCTCATCTCTTACATCAAAGTGTTCTGGATAATAACTTCAGATGTACTTACACTGGTGCGGTGGGGTGTATTCACTGGGAGTTCTCAGCTCTGTAAAGAATACAGTAAACATTATCAGTTGTGATGTATAAAGTTCCCATTAACTGAATTAGAGTCCTGCACTTACCGACAGACTTTGTAGAATCCAAGTTAAAACATGTTCCTTCTCCTTGGAACCTGAGCTCTCCTCTCTGGGTGTTGATATCAGAACCAGTGAATGATCAAATGATCGATCACTGAAGAGTTTCAGGACTCTGCAGAGCCTCAGTTTGTGTTCCTCAGTGAAGTCTTCAGGCTGTAGAACCAGCAGGAACACATGAGGTTCAGGATCAGAGACACTCACACAGTTTGTCACATGTTCTGTCAGTTTGTGTTCAGAGATGTTGGGATGCAGCAGATCTGGGGTGTTGATGAGAACTATTTCTTTTTCCTTTAAGCGTCCTCTTTCTCTCAGACAGCGGTCTGGTTCTTCCTCAGTGTTGAACTTAATCTCTCCCAGTATGAAGTTCCCCACTGAACTCCTCTCAGACCAGCTGTTCCCCAGCAGAACAACCCTCAGCTCAGACACTGAAAGGAAAACACTGAATTAAAAGAACTGTGTAGACTTTGTCCAAAATGAAAATAATATATTCTGGATTTATAACCAAAGTCAATATTTTTCAAGGTGGACTTCAGAGAATGTGTCAGCTGTCATCATGTTGAAACTTACAATTTTATCAATGAGCTTGCAAATATTTATATGAAAATAAAATGTGAGTTTGTACCCAGCACATAAAAACACTGTAATTCCACATGTTAATATACAGAAGAATAATTCTGACTCAGTTCAGGTTAACTCACTGGTGAGTGGCAGGAATTCCATGCTTTTTCTCCGCAGATCATCTGACACTGTAAGGATACAGAACATTGATTCATTCAACAATCTAAATTTCAAGGGACACTGTTTCTGGAAGGACATGTTGCTGTTGATTATTTTGTATTTTAGTAGTTGTAGTTAAAACTAGTAAAAATCAGGCCCAAAACAAGACGTGTGGGAAGAGCTTCTGCATTTGATCCACAAAAAGTCTTCAGCCAAAACTCAGAGCAACAAGAAGACTGAATGACAGCATGGTTCACCTCTGAGAAACATGTAGGACATAACCACAATCGATTATACAAGGTTACAGATTTAGTCATGCATCTAATATGATACAACTTATTCTTACCCTGTACCAAACAATAAAATAATAATAAACTTTATGTGTAAAACAACTTTCAAACAAGAATTTCAGTTCAAAGTGCTTTACAATACAGGAATTAAATGCATGAACTTAGACATGATCATAAAAAGGCGAATATAGTGGACACATAACTATTATTCTTATTTTCTATTTTTACTGTATTTTGTATTTATATATATATTTATATTCTATTTTTATTAATGTGTATTTTCTTATCTCTGGTGTTGTGTTGTATCTGGCGCTGCTGCAACCTGAGAATCTCCCCAGTGTGCGATCAATAAAGTCAAAATCTTAACACTCCATGTTAAAATCACACCTACATACATATTTACTATTAACTGCATTTGCCATGCATTTGTTTTTGTTTTTTAAAATGTTATTTTGTGTCATCATTTATGTGGTGTTTATTTACTGTTTCCTGATATTATAATGTATATATAATGTACTGTATATAATTGTATCCATGAAAAAAATCACCCTTCAAATCGGACTCTGTGCCCTGCACTGTTTGTTACAGAAACATGTAAATCCAAAGTTAACTTTGATTCAAATAGCCTGCATCAGTGAGGCTGCACAAAGGTGAAGATACTTATGGAAAATAAATATTTTACAAAACTTTAATTTAGGAATGACTTAGTGAGCACAGTATTGAAAATGATCTATGTTTTGTGATCCATCACAGTGAACAGCAAAAAACATTTTCCAACAGAGATCTGGAAACTAAATTACTTTTTGTGCAGGAATAAAAAATACAGTTATTTAATATGGCTGTTAAGAGCAGACAATGGCTACGTTCAGACTGCAGGCCTTAAAGCTCAATTCCGATTTTTTTTGTTTGACAGTTCACATTATAGTTTAAATGTGGTCCATATCAGAGTCCAGTGTGCCTGAAAGTGACCCGCATGCGCAGAACAATAACACGATGTCACACGCAGCAGAAGTACACAAGGAGACACATAGCTCCGGAAAAAATAAATAATAAATAATAAATAAAGCTACATAGCTCCGGAAAAAATATATAAATAAATAAATAAAGCTACATAGCTCCGGAAAAAATAAATAATAAATAATAAATAAAGCTACATAGCTCCGGAAAAAATATATAAATAAATAAATAAAGCTACATAGCTCCGGAAAAATAAATAAATAAAGCTACATAGCTCCGGAAAAAATAAATAAATACATAAATAAAGCTACATAGCTCCGGAAATAAATAAATAAATAAATAAATAAAGCTACATAGCTCCGGAAAAAATATATAAATAAATAAATAAATAAATAAATAAAGCTACATAGCGCCAGAAAAAAAAATAAATAAATAAATAAAGCTACATAGCTCCGGAAAAATATATATAAATAAAGCTACATAGCTCCGGAAAAAATAAATAAATAATAAAGCTACATAGCTCTGGAAAAAAAAATAAATAAAGCTACATAGCTCCGGAAAAATATATAATAAATAAAGCTACATAGCTCCAGAAAAAATAAATAATAAATAAAGCTACATAGCTCCGGAAAAAATAAATAAATACATAAATAAAGCTACATAGCTCCGGAAAAAATAAATAAATAATAAATAAAGCTACATAGCTCCGGAAATATAAATAAATAAATAAATAAAGCTACATAGCTCCGGAAAAAATATATAAATAAATAAATAAATAAATAAATAAAGCTACATAGCGCCAGAAAAAATAAATAAATAAATAAATAAAGCTACATAGCTCCGGAAAAAATATATATAAATAAAGCTACATAGCTCCGGAAAAAATAAATAAATAAATAAAGCTACATAGCTCTGGAAAAAAAATAAAATAAATAAAGCTACATAGCTCCGGAAAAATATATAAATAAATAAAGCTACATAGCTCCAGAAAAAATAAATAAATAAATAAAGCTACATAGCTCCGGAAAAATAAATAAATACATAAATAAAGCTACATAGCTCCGGAAAAATAAATAAATAAATAAATAAAGCTACATAGCTCCGGAAAAAATATATAAATAAATAAAGCTACATAGCTCCGGAAAAAATAAATAATAAATAAAGCTACATAGCTCCGGAAAAAATAAATAAATAAATAAAGCTACATAGCTCCGGAAAAAATAAATAAATAAAGCTACATAGCTCCGGAAAAAAAATAAAAATAAATAAATAAAGCTACATAGCTCCGGAAAAAATATATAAATAAATAAAGCTACATAGCTCCGGAAAAAATAAATAAATAAATAAAGCTACATAGCTCCGGAAAAAATAAATAAATAAATAAAGCTACATAGCTCCGGAAAAAATAAATAAATAAATAAAGCTACATAGCTCCGGAAAAAATAAATAAATAAATAAAGCTACATAGCTCCGGATAGCTCGAGGCAAACGCCCGTTTTTCCTCTCACGGGACACATTTCTCCCGAATTATGACAAGTTTTCACAACTTTCTGTTCTTTACAGTTTTCGGCTGTACAACATCTCACACCCTCCGTCTCTCTCTCTCTCTCCACTGTGTCCGCTCGAACAAGTATCACGCACGTAACTCAGAAAAGAGCTCGCGGTCCGGTGGATTTATAAGAAAGGGAAGCTGTGAGCAGATTATAGCGAGGTAGAGGAGGAAGAGAGCCACATCTGTAATAATGGCCTTTTGTACAGCTTTTTCGTTCACCGCGGCTCCGTCTACAGCAGAACAGCTGCTCTACAGCGACGTCAAAGTCGCAACAAAGATAAAAAAAAGATAAAGAAGATCCGATCTGTATCGGATTTGGACCACATATGGAAGTGGCCCAATTCCGAACTGGAAACGTTCAGATTCCATGACTTGGCCTGTTCACACTGTCATAAAAAGTTAAGATCTGATCGAGTCACATATGGGCGAAAAAATCGGATTTGGGTCACATTGGCCTGCAATCTGAACATAAGTGTTATAAGTGTTAACACAGTATGACTGGGCTCACTTGATGCTGCAGCCGCCATGATGTCACTCTGCTGAAAAGGATCAATTCAACTGCTGGATCTGAGTACCTAAAGACGTGACAGCATCCATTGTTAAACAGTTAACTTGTCTAATGCTGTCTAATGTTACATCAATAACCCCGGGGCCAAAAGAAAAAAATCGGGATTTTCCCACTACTAGGCTACAACTAATAATAACGGCCTCTTCAGCTCAATTAGACCTAAATGTTGACAGAAACTTTTGTCTCAGTAAATCTCCTCATTTCAGAGAGACTTTAGAGATGAAACACGGACTGAAAACAGATCAGGACTCTCCGTTCAGACCAAAACACAGAAACCATCAGTATAGTGTGATAATAACAAGCTGTGAGTCTGATGAGAACAGCCGACTGACGGGGGAAGATCGCTGATTTTACAGTTAATAACGTGAATCTGGAACCTCCTGCAGTTCTATCATCTGCTTCATAAACTACTTTCACTTTGATATTTTTAAAAATCTAGTTCTCGAGTTCACTTACCAGCTTGACTTTCTGCTGCGACACAATCAGCTGTGAGACCGAAAGTAAGAATAACGGTCAGAGCAGGGGTGTATCATAAAATTCTTGGGCCCCCCACATTAGGGGTCTCTGTGGTCCCCCTTCCTCTCTTGGTTCATGTCTCTTACGCATCTTCATAGGCGGAAATCCCATGTGTTTTTAAAATAATTGTGTAAGTGGTCAAACAATACAAATGCAAAAAGGTAAAAATAAAGTCTTTTAAGTTTAGAAACATTGTGATTGTGAAACATGTGAAACATGTGAAACATGTGAAACATTGCTCATCTCTCATCTTGCTGCAGTTGAATACCTTTGTGAGAGCCGTCCTCTGTCCAAGATGAAACCTAAAATAATATGTGTCGTTTTGTGTTGTCGGCCAGATAAAAAGACATTTTTTTAAGATTTGGTAACATCACGGTGTCCATGCTACACTAATAAAAATAGTAAGGCTTTCCTCTGTGTACACATCCTATACAAGTACAATTGTGGCTGTACTATTTGTGTCTCCTTCAAAAACTGCTCTTGAGAAATTTTATGTTTATTGTATCATCCAATTGTCCGCTGAAATTTATTCCCATACGCATCTTTTGAAAATTGTTTACAAATACTTGAGCTAACAACTGCATACATAACACTGTTCATACTACGTATAAACAAGTAATATTAATCTGTGATATGTAACCCTGCACAGTTTGCTATGTGACCACATTTCAGAGCTTTGATGAGTGTTTGGCCATGTGATTTCAGCCCGTTCTCATTTCCAGGCATCAAATAGCTACGCTTTGTCACAACCTTCAGCATCTAGTAGCAACGCACATGGCACCCTTTCATCGAGCATCCATGTATTGACCCCCTGGGATGAGAGCTGGTTGTTGATTTATTTTGCTACATAAGC